CTTGAAATGATTCCTTGAGATACTGGTCAACAGGATTTTCCATGATAACAGGAATTTTCTGTGGCTATAGGAATACAATCTCAGTGTTTGCCACATATCCTACCTTTCCAATAGAAACAGTTGGTATGCTGGAATCTAGTTCTGCTACTCTGGCCAGAGAGAACCATACAATTAAATACTGAACTAGGGACATGTCAATGGAAATGTCTATATTCTATGGTTACTATTTCAGTCCAATGAGAGGCTCTTCAAAAATGAAAGATGGAGACATGATTTGAAGGAGCTCATGAGCACCAGGAGAGACAGTGACTTAATTCTTGAACAATTTTCTAATTTAGTCCATATAGTTCTTTTCCCCCTTTGTTTGGTCTTGCAATTAAAATTGTTAAGTACATCAAGTATCTAATCATTCAAATTTTCACTTCCCGTTTTACAGGAAGTTGCAGCCCTATGTCCTACTCTTGGTTAAGGCACTTTGGTGACTTGCTTTAGTAGTGTGCATTTGCCTTAACCAAGAAACAAACTGTTATTCTGCAATTGTTGTAGTAAAATTATACCACATATTCTTAGTAAAATTATACCACATGTTACTGACAACAAAGGCCCTAGTGTTGACTTGTTATTTTAGGTAAAGGACTCTCTAAAAACGATATTGGTTACAGTGGTTTTGGTTAAACTGGTTAAATGTGAAGGAATTCTTTCCAGGATGTGGTCATAAGCAGACACTTCAGAAATTCCCCAAAGCAATGGACCTTAATGAACAGGATTGCCCTGGAGTAAGTAGTCAACCTACAGTGGGGTTTGGACATGTGCTTTTGAGCAAGTTTCTAGGTGATTCTCATGAGTATCCTGCCTCTTATGCCATCTGCTTTTCTTTTCTTTACTTCTTGAAAACTCAATGATGCTTTAAAATGAAATGACAATTGTCCTCTGGGCTTTAATTACAGAAATTTCATCTCCTGGTGCACAAACTGGCATAATTCAGATTCTGTTTTTCATGTTCATTGTTAGTTGACAGAGACTGGATATGCAGTGTAGTAGTGAGAACCATAGTTCTGTTTGTACATGAACTATCCTGATCCCCTTAAATCTTTGTAATAATCTGTGAACTAATCCAAAGTGGTTTTGTACCAATAAATGCTTTTTGTAATTGTTACAGGGCACCCCAATGTGAATTGGGTTGCCTGTCTGTGGGTCTTCACCCGTG